CCCAGGGCGTACGGTTAGGGTTAATAATCTTGTTATAAGTATCCGTATAACATTAGAGCATGCATCAGAATATCGTTGAGTTACAATCAGAATACTGAGTGTGTATCAAGCTTAACAATATTATTGTTTATATTTCTTTTTGAGTTACTGTTCACTTATCTCCTACACCACAAATAGATAATAGATGCATGTGAGCCTGTTTGTACTTGGTTAGTTGGAGAATAGGCATCATTGCAGGCGGCACAATGCCAAAGCTGCTCCTCCCTCCTCTCCAGGATCCATGAAAGGGTCTGCTTGTTTGTGAGTGCAAGCATACTGCAAGAATTATTATTATTATTATAGTTATGTCCACTGATGCGTTTGGAAGAGAGGGTGTGTGAGGAAGATTGTGTGTTTATATTATGGGTGTGCACTTGTGCGTGCGCATACATCTGTGTGCATGCGTGTGTGTGTGTGTGTGTGTGTGTGTGTGTGTGTGTGTGTGTGTGTGTGCATGTTCGCGTATTAATGTGTGCGCCCGCGCATGTGTGTGTATATGTGTGTGTGGGGGGTGGGGGGTGGGGAGGGGATAAGTTACATGTTGTTATATGTTCAACATCATAATAATTATTAAAGTGACAACATTATGTGGAAAATATAGATGTCTTGTTGTTGTGACTCTGGTATGAATGTGTTTTATTTCAATTTTTAAAGAAATAACTGCTTTATTTAGATCTAGCGCATATCCACGCCCCTACATCGTACTCTATGTGCTTTACTTAAACCGGCAGTCTCTAAAACACGACTTAGAAACAATCTCAACTTCCAGGGAAGCATGCAGATTCTAAACGAATCTACTAGATCTCTATTACATAATGAATTCAAAGAAAAGTTTATGCAGACATTCCTTTACTAGGTTAACTGTCAAATTATGGAGGCCCGTTTGCAATTGATTATGCAAAGCAGTATTTGAAGACAAAATAATATACAGCTTATCACAGACTTAGATTTAGTGTGGAAGAAAAGCGACAATTATTGTGTGGCACTCCTAGCTTCCCGAAGCTCAAAGTTAGGCTAAGATTTTATTTCTAGATTTCTAATTCGGGTTTTGATACAGGATTGTCGAAGTCGTAATAAGATCTTCATCGACATAAAAAAATAAAGAATTTATACCAACTTACTGCGAGACTGTATCCTGGCAGTAGGGTGTGAACAGCGCTGAGAATATTATCACACAAAGTGACTGTAGGGAACTCGCAGTCCAGGTGATAGCTCAACACTAACACCGTCCACAAACTCACTAGAAGTATTGTCACAAACCGTTCACGACTACTAATCCTAAACCTTAAATTCTCACCGAGCTTATTCGTCCTTCTACTCGTATTTTATCTCCCGATCTCTTTTTCACATCGTCGATCTTTCACACACTGCGTCAGATAAACATCGCGCGTCAACAATTACTTTTCACTTATCTCCTACTGCTGCCGTTCACAGAAGGAAGAGAGAGAAAGGCCCACATCGAGTCGCGCTCGTTGGCAGAGACAGACAGACAGACAGACAGACCCGTTACCCCTCTCGGTACCCGCCCGTCACCGCCCTCTTTGATGTCAGTTTCACGGCAGGGAGGCGGGGTCGCGCACCACCCGCGCTTTTGATTGGCCGCTTCCAGAAGCTACGCGCGAATCCGTGAGCGACCATTGATTTGTGGGATGGCGTGCGGTGGGTGAAGGTCTCCGCAGGCACGCGGGGAAAATCTTCTTGATGACGCCTGGTGTCCCCGCGAAATCCCCCCTTTAAGTACAAATGTGTTAGAGCAAATATCAGCGAATAGGCGGTCAAGATGAAAAGACGATTTCCTTCACATAGCGATGGGCGGTCGTAAATTATTTTGTTTTCCTCACATTCATCGAGTGCGATTTTTGTTGTTCGTGTTGTCTACATTGCTACAATTTCTCGCATTCTCTCTTCGTGCGTGGCCAAGACGCTAAAGGTAATAATTACTCGCAACACAAAGTTCGCTTTGCCACGATAAGACATAATTACGAACCCGTCTTGTTTTAAGCGATCTGAAATAGAGCAAAAGATTTTTGGGGATGAGGGAGTAGCCAAAAGAGCTGTAATTCTTATTCTCCGCCTTATTCTTAGCTTTGAACCGTGTGTTTTTATTAATGCGTGGGGTATCGCAATCTTTGTCTTCAGGTACTCAAAGTACACATATCAGAATTTTCTCCCGAGCTGATCTTTAAAGTTAGTTGAAGACCTGTTCTGTTATCTTACCCTACACGTGTCATCGTTCACTTTAAGCTTCTTTGTTATCAACGTAATTGCTGGAGGTTCTTAGGGAGTACATACACGATGCACTTTCTCGTGTCTGTGCGTGATGTTCCTTCTTCACACAACTCTATTGTTTTGCGAGCTAAGGAAAGACAGGTGCAAAGGTTTTGCATGATTAACTTTGCGAGATGGAAAAGAGGCGATAATAAGAGGTTTGAGGTTGGGGAGGGGGGAGAGGAGGTGAGAGAAAGGCACATCATCGACCTTGTTGAACTGTGCTGAGCATTTTTGCTTTGATGATTCATAAAGATAATAGATCTATAGCCTAGGTCGGAAACTGTTACTAGATCTACTGCTATTTTACATTACTACAGGAGATCTGTTATATAATTATATCATCCGGGTCTGACTGAAGAGGAGGGGGAGGGTGGAAGTGTGTGTGTGTGGGGACGAGGGTGCATAATTTTCTTCTCTTTTTCTTCGTTTTAAGTAGGATAAGGATATCGAAAAACACCGATAACAGAACTGCCCGCTCGGTGACTGTCGTTATTTCAAGATGTGTATCCCGGAGTTTCAGCCTATTCAAGACGAAATCAATGGCGTCAGTTGCCTAGGGGTTAGGCTACTACTGGACCCACGGTCGTGGGTTCGAGCCTCACTCGGTCGTTATATCCTTTCCTATTTGGTTCTGTCCTTTCGGTATTTCTGGGGTCCCGTCCCTCCTCTTAAATAATCGATTAATGTTGATAGGGGCATTAAATCGATACCATTTCACCATTTTTTTCAAAGACAGAATCAATTAGATTTCAGAATGTTAGACTGATGGAAAGCACTGATGATTTAAACTGGATAAATGCATATATTTGACATTTTACAATAGTCATACATCTGACGCTTCAAGCCATACATGTTTCCAGACCGACGACTGCTCAGAAATATGTGTCACCACACCGTGGAATCAGGCGCTCGTCAGTTTTTGGGCATGGGGAGTTATTGATATCAGCTTAAAGCTTGTTCATTTTTCTCGCTGTCGATTAAAAAACAAAGCAAATTATCTTGAAAAGAAGTCGAGATATTCACGATTGAAGGAGGTGAGGGTCGCCTGGTTTCACATGTAAAATCAGTGAGAAAATGGCGGCCATAATTTGATGACTTCCATAGCTTGAGAGTACACGACATGTACTTGGAAACTGGGAATTAAATTTTTTTGCGCCTCTAATCAACGTTTTTCAGTAATGTCCACATAAAGATAATGTTTTTAAATGGACAAAACAGATATTGATTTTTAAAAAAGCAAAAATTCGAGAAAAAACATTATCAGACCGGTAGAGCCTGTTTCTTCGATTTTATTATTTTGACGAGCGCCTGATTTCACCACGCTGCCTCTCATAATATGACGTTCAGTAATAATGAAAAGACAGTACACGAAAAAGGTTCTCGTATCGCATACCAGCGCCTGTTGTGTGTCGGATCGGCAAGCTGTTCAGATCTGTTAAAGTCACGGCAGCAAAGGTTTAAAGGAGAGAGAGAGAGAGAGAGAGAGAGAGAGAGAGAGAGAGAGAGAGAGAGAGAGAGAGAGAGAGAGAGAGAGAGAGAGAACCATATTTCATTCTTTTTAATACTTGTTCCTTCATTGTGTAATTTTAATGCTTTTTTTTCTTCAACATTTACCTCTAGAATTCAAATTTTGATAATATTTGCGAGCGCCGTAAAACACTTATAAAAAAAGCAGCCCACCTCCAAACTGATAGTTCACTGTGTCGAATACAATCACTCCTGGATTAGTTTTTTTGTTTTTTTTTAAGTTTATCAACCGCCACGCCAGTCATGTTTTGTGGGAAGAGATAAAAGAAAATATGCCTAACTACAAACGGCTTTTATCCTTTAAAAAAATGTTTTCACTAATATTTAACTTTTTAGATTTTAGAACGATGCCCATTTGAACTACTAAACGCAAACGTGCCAGTTTATAGGAATGGGCAGGGAGTCTCCATCCTAATAAATAAATAGATAAATAAATAGATAAA